GTAAACTCTTCACCCTCAGCTCCTCTAGATCCGTTCATTCACGACACACTGCAATGTGCGGGTGTGAAACCTCGCTTGTCCCGTCTGTAGGAACCCCCCTTCCCTGGGAACACACTCCCTGGTTTACAAACCATCAACCTGTGCACCTGCTCACTTTTGCTGATCAAATCACCACTTTCTAAGTTAAATCACAATGGTTTTGGTCAGTCCCACATGCCAAGACATGAGGGAGGTGTTCTATTTTCACGGCGCTAAAACAAAATCCCGCCCCGATGACTGAGCCAAGCAAACCGCCACCGTCCCGGCTCTCCAGCCTGCGTAGTCGGTCACCACATAGGACTAGAAATGCTCAGAAAAAGCTTCTGCTCCTGCAGAGAGACGGCCCAGCTTCGACAACATGCCTGCCCTCTGTCCCTCTACCTGTGACCAGACACCCACCCATGACTTCCAGGCCCTGCCAGAGCGTCAGGGTCAGCCCCAGGCGGGCAAGCTCAGACCTGGTCACAGGGTCTGCAGGGCCTGGCACTCTGCCTATTATCTAACTTACGAGTGTAAATGTAGGTCAAGAAATTTCCGCCCAGTCCTGGGCATCTTCAAGATGAATGCCCACATCCTAAAAAAACTCATCAAGACAGAACCAACACTCTATCTAACCTGAAAATAACTTTCAAGTAAGAGGTCAGTTTAATTTTATGTTCCACACACATTATTTGCATAGCCATTTTCTTTATAATAAAGGTAAACAGGTTTATATCAAAATAATTGCTATAATACTTGCTGGCATTTTCTGACATTATGCCAGGGTTCAAGTCTGGTAAAACCATTTATAAACAAATTAACCACCAACACTGAGTAACAATGTTTTACACACTACCATTGCTCAATTAAATCCCCCTGCCAAAACCGGTTTGGCTCAGTGGATAGAGTGTCGGCCTGCGGACTGAAGGGTCCCGGGTTCGATTCCGGTCAAGGGCATGTACCTGGGTTGCGGGCACATCCCCAGTGGGGGGTGTGCAAGAGGCAGCTGATCGATGTTTCTCTCTCATCGATGTTTCTAGCTCTCTATCTCTCTCCCTTCCTCTCTGTAAAAAATCAGTAATAATAATAAAAAAAAATCCCCCAGAACAAAACCAGAAACCCTTTTTTCTTACGGTTCCCGCCAATTTGGAACCATATCCTGAGCTTCTGTGATTCACATTTTTTCGAGAACCTGAAAGGACTGCTACTAGTATTCTGCCATTAACCACATGCAAAATTTAATGCTTCTAGAAACGCCTATAGTTACTGCCTTTACATGCCATTAAGTCTATAAACTGCATCAAATAAAGTTATTCACTGGCAGGAAGATAGCAAATTGAAGCTGGTCTAGGTACAGTTTTAATTTAAGATAACTAAACAAACCTCAGATTCAAGCACACACCCATACAAATATAAACCTTAACCAGTTATTCCAGGAAATAAAGTTTATAATCACCGAGGTTCAAGTTATAAAAACAAACCAAAAAAGGAACAGATACGCCTATAAATACACACCATTGGCAACTATCTCATTATACATTAATCACCAGAAAAAAAAGACCTTCCCAAGTACGAGTGTATAATAATAATACAACTGTTGTTTTTAAGATAGTTAAGTCGTAGGACCACGAAGAGTTGCCACCTGAGCACGGTCTGGAACACAGGCTTCGCTGTAAGTTATGCAACTGATCACTCCTTCACCCAGTGCCTTCCCACGCCCCCTCTGCTGACAAGCCAGGCGTTAGTCTTCACACACACCTCTGGGTGATACGAATCACCGCCACATGACTTCTCAAGACTAATCAGAGTATTAAAACAACTAGTTATTCTTAGGAGTATTAATAAAAAGTATTCTTCAAAGTATTAAAATATTCACCTTTAGTAAAGCACATGGAATTCTAGGTTATTTTTCTCACCACTGAAAAAAGAAGGCAGCAAACTCAAGAAACAATAAACAAAAGAAATGACTTTAAGAAATACCTCATGAAGCAAAGTGGCCAACCACCTAGCATAGCTTTTGCATTTAGTTTAATCTTTATAAAAAAAAAGAATGCGACTTGAAAACATAGTCTTTAATACTTAATAACCTAACAGACAATGTCACTGTTTTCTGAAAGCATACATCCCACGTCTTGTCAGGACACAAAGAAAGCGGTAGTCAATATTCTCTCCACAATATGTTTACTGGGCGCCTTCCATATGACGGACATAAGGGTATTTTTAAAATAGCGCTCTAAGCTCTTGCCTTCATAGATAACCAGGGATGGAGATAGAGGAACCAGTGGCTGTAGCAACAGGACAGGTCTAAGGTAAGCAATGGACCACCACGGGGCAGGAGACCTGAGGGCACACTCAGAGGCCCCAGGAGACGATGGGAAGTGACAATTAGCAAGAAGCACTCCCCCACTAAAGCATCAGAAAGCCCCAACAGAAATACAACCTGAACGTCACTAACAGAGGAGGACAGGACTAAACAGCTTCAAGAAGCTTGTGCTATGAGCTATCGTTTTCCACAATAACCAAGACATTAATTCAGCTTAAAATCCATCTCCTGGTGATAATATGTCAACACTGAGTTTAGGTCATCAATTCATTTGAAAATTCCAAAAGAATCTAGGATCCAGCTGCAGAGGGGCTGAAAAATACACATTGATAAAAGATTACCTGCGTCTTTCGGAAGCCCTCCCTGTACGTCCAAATACAGATGCAAAGGGAAAAGCAAGCATAACCAGGTTGATTCTAAAACACATTCTGATTGTCTTAAAAAGTGAACGTAATCCAAAAGCCAAGCTCATCATCATCCTAAACAGAAACCACAGAATTACCAGCGGTTGTGGAGGCTGCCTGAAACCACCAATCGTAAATGATCAATGCAGCTGTAAGAGCTGATAATAGATACTGATCACTGTGCCTCCCAGAAAAGGAAACAAACCACAACTATACTCGCATACACATACGCAGAGATTACACAAATATATATATACTAGGCAGTGAAAACCCTAAGAAAACAGCACACGGACGTTTAAAAACATCAACTCATTTCATTAGGAAAGCCTTCTAATAAAATCCTGGAGGTCATTTCTGAAAACAGGAATGTTCAGGTTTAAGGGCGGAGGAAGGAAAACCTACAAAATGAAAAAGTTCTTCAACTTTCGTTTTGCTTCAGCAACTTTTCACCTGCAGAGTAACTACCAGGAAAGGGGCTCTGGCAACGGCAGGCCAGTGTCACCCAACAGAGGCCGGGGTGGGAGGACAGAGAGGAACTCACTGGGCGCCTGCAGCCGGAGCTCGGAATCAGCGCGCGGCCATCTGCTCTGACTTGGGATTTTCAAAGCACCAACTCCACTTAAAATTCCACAGTGAACCTGTCTCTCTTACTAAACGGAAAAGATAGTCCTTTCCCAACCAGACATGGTAAACCTCTCAGAAGACCATCATAAATAGGCCCATTCAGACAGGAACGCAACTGTGGGCCACGATAATATTTTACATCCGAATCCTCTCACCAGAGACGAGAAGAATGAACTCATTCTTCTGAACGACAACATGACCCTGAACTACCGCCCACTGCCACCAACTTCCTCACTGCGTCGAGCCCATAAAATCACCGGAAGGTGAGGGGTCGCTCCGAGGAACCCGGCACATCAGTGTGCACGCTGGCCACCTGCACCCCAACATGGACAGATGCTCGCTCGCCTGGCAGTGGGGTCACAGCCGGGGACCCCATCGTTGGTGAGCATACCGCCCGTGGAAACGCCTGTGACAGACCTGACCTACCAGCACCCGGCTCGGCCTCCCGGCCCTGAACTGGCTCGGGCAGAGCCCACAGCAGGAGAAGCCCCGCAGGCGGGGCTGCCGGCACCCCGGGGGCACAGCACCAGGGGGCACCCCGAGGGCGCTGGCCGGGAGGCTGCATCAGTTCCCACCGGGTGGAGGGGCTCGGCCACCGTGAAGTCTGAAAGCCACGAGTCCCGAGCAGGAAGGGCGCCCCCCTGAACTCGGGACCCGGGGCTCCCGCCACCGGAGGACCCGCGGGGCTCTGGGAGGCGAGCGGGTGGGGTGAGCGGGGAGCCACGTCCCAGGGAACGTCCAGGTTTGCCAAGAAGGACGGGCGCTGCGGGGCTATTTCCACAAACAACGTCCGCTTCGGGTCGCTTGTGGCAACAAATGGGGAGGCGCGCGGTTGAGGGGCGCCCTGCGAGGGCGCGAGCCCGTGTGGGGTCCATGCTGCGCCAGGAGGTGCGGCCGCCGCGGGGAGGGAGGCGCGGCTCCGAGCGCCCACGCTCCTGCGCCCACTGATGCCCAGGGTCCCCCGCCTCCGCCCCGGTTTTCGGGGACCTGCTGGACGCCTTCCGCGGCTCCGCCGTCAGCCACCCCATTGTCCCCCGCCCGGCGGGCGCGATTTCCTCCTTTTCTCCCGAGGACGGGACTGGCCGCCCCGCCGCCCGGCGGCCCAGACTGCGCGGCGAGCACGACCCCCGCTCCGCTCGGCTCGCGGCCGGCGCCCCGACTCCAGGCGCCCGGAGCCAGGCCGAGCCGCAGGCTCTGGCGACAAAGGTCCCCGCGGCCCCGGCGCCGCGAACCCGGGGCTGCGGTCGGCGAGACGGTCACACCGCGTCCGGCACGCCCTCCCCCGCCGGACACGAGGGGGCCTCGCCGCCGCCCCGACCCCGGCCCCGGCCCCCACACGCGGCCCCACCGAGCCGAGACCCGCCCCCGCCCGGCCCCCGCCCTGGGCCCGCCACCCGCACCCGGCCCGCGCCCCCACCTCCGGACCAGACCCCCCCCCCCCCCGGCCCGAAACCCCGCCCCGGCCCGGGCACAGGTGACCGCTCCGCCCGCGCCGGCCCGCGCGGCCACCCGGGGCGCGGGGCGGGGGAGCCGGGGAGGCGGCCGGGGCGGGGGTCCCGCGGGAGGGTCGCGGGGGGAAGGGTCGCGGGGGGGGAGGGGAGAGGAGGGGCGGGCGGCGGGCCCGAGCGCACCTCGGTGGGCTGGCTGATCTCGAACAGGTCCAGCCGGTTGGCGTTCCAGTGGCGGATGATGTCGGCCAGCTTCCGCCGCTCCTCCTCGCGGCCGCCCGCCGACATCCTCGCGGCCGCGCTCCGCCGCCGGGCGCCGCGGGGGTCGGGGCCGGGGGCACGGGCGCGGGTGGGGCCCGGCCGGACCGCGCGCCCACAGGTCCGCGGGCCCGGCTCCCCGCGCTCGGCCGCCTCCCCGCCGCCCCGCGCTCCTCGGCCTCCGCAGGCTCCTCGGCTCCACGCGCTCCCGCTCCGGGATCCGCGGCGCCTCCGCCGACCCGCCGCCTCCGACTCCGCGGGCGCCTCCACCTCCCGGGCCGCCTCAGCCCGCCGGCCGGTGTGCGCCCTGCGCGCCCGCACGCGCCGCCCGCCCCGCCCGCCGTGCGCGCCCCCGCCCCCCCGCGCACGCGCCCCCGCCCCCCGCGCACGCGCACCGCCCCTCCGCGCACGCGCCCCCGCCCCGCGCACGCGCACCGCCGCACCTCGGCACCTCCGCTCGGTGCTGCTGCGCGCGCCGCCTGCACCCCGCGCCTCCCGCCCGCGCCGCCGCTGCACCGGGCCCGGCGCGGGGGTGCCGGTCCCCGCGGCAGCACCTCGGGCCGGCGGGCGGGTCCCAGAGGTGCGGGTCCCGAAGGTGCTAGGGTCCAGCTGCGGGCGGGCGAGACGGACCCAGTGCGGGGACCCGCGTCCGTGCGTGGGGAGCCCGAGCCCGGCCGCGCCGACCGCCGCAGGAGGCCCGAGCGCTCCGCCCTCCCCCCCTCCCGCCGGCCGCGGTGTCCCCGGCGGTTGGCGTGTCCCTCGGGGCGACTCCCCGGCCGAGGGTCAGACCGCAGCCGGCCTTCCCGGATGGCCTTCCTCCCGGGACGGCAACCCCCGCGCCCGGGTCAGCGGTCATGTTTTGAAACCCTCCCGGCTCCTTCCAGGCCTCCGGGCGCTCGCAGCCCTGGCGCGGCCGGATCCCCGGTGCTCAGAGCACAGCCTCCCAGACGGAGCCACGAGGCCGCACGGACTGGCCGGACCCCCGGCGGACCAATAGCAGATCCTTAACGGGGGCGGCGCGGGCGGCGTTTGTGCTGCAGAACAGGACAGCCTCTAAGTCTCCCACTCCCCCGAGGTGCATCCATAGCAAGTTTTGTAAATTTTAGAGCTGTTTCTTCCTTTGGATGTTCTCTTTGGGTTTTTTAAGTTTATTGATTGCTTTGAGAGAAACATTGATGTGTCGCTCCACTGATTCATGCATTTATGGGTTGAGTCTTGTATGTGCCCTGACCAGGGATGGAACCCGCAAGCCTGCTGTATCCAGACGAGGCTCTAACCAACTGAGCGCCCGGCCAGGGCCTCTTGGCATGTTTTCAATTGCTCCCTCTCCAACCCCCCCACCCCAAAAAAAAAAAATTGGCTGCAGAACACATTCCCGCAGGATATTCCCCACGCAGCCGCGCTCATTCAGGCCCCGGGGCCTCTCACCCTGCCCGCCCTGTGGTGTAGCAAAAAGCCTGCATCTTTGAAATACCGAAGCTAAGGAATGGGAACGGGGAGCTGCACGGGACAAAGCCTCTTTATTTCCGTCATCACTTTGTTCCAGCCTGGAGATGGGCTTCTGCGCTCCTGCTGGGCTTTGTCCCCGCCAGCTCTTGCTGCTGCACGTGCAGAGCTGCATCAGGAGGCTTCTCAGCCCGAAGCCTGAGGCGTTGAACCCGTGCCACGGGGACGGAGCCTTCAATGGACCTCTATCTGCTCCTCTTTCTCAACACGAAAGTGCGGGACTCGCAGAAAAGCGTCTGCAGGAGTGGCGTCCTCGTGTGCCGGCTCCTTTATGCTTCTCTAGAGACTCAGGCTGTTGTGTGTTTTGGTTCCTGCGAGCGGCCTGATGTCCATACGGCAGGCGCTGTCCGGGCAAGGCTTCCCACCAGCCACGCGGGTCATCAGACCCCGTTCAGCTGAATTTTAACAGAAAGAGCTTTATTCCTGGCGGTGCTGTTACCAGGAATGACTTGGCTCTGAGGGGCAGGAGTCGGTTTGTAAAGCTGGCAGTTCCAGTGCTGGTGTCCCACGGACGTGCATGGAGTCTTTGCTCAAGAGGGAACGCAGCTTTTCGAGAACATGGGGTGGGCTGCCTGCAGGGCTTTTGTGATGGAGATATGGCACCCGGGGGTGCACCACCCAGAGATGGCTACGTGTCAGTGCTAATTATTAGCGTTTTCCTGACTCCCATTAAAAACCCCATTTAGAGTATGTGTGAGTGGTGTATTAATACCCAAGCTACAATTCCTCGTCCCAACCCACTGTGGCTTATTGATAAAGTTTAATAAGTTAAAACTCATTGATAAAGTTTTAAAAGCACCCTGGCGTCCATAGAGTACCTGCTGAGTTCTGATCCATTTAAGAAATTGTGTTTAAGTGCTCAAGAAATGCTGTATAAAATTAAAATCCGTGGGATTTGTTATCAACCCCACCTTACAGACAGAGACACTGAGGTGTGAGATGAAAGACTACAAGACTGCATTGGGTGAGGTTGGAAAAGGTTAATTTTTTTAAAATATGAGTTTTTAAATTTTTATTTTCCACTTTATATTTAACTTTGGGTTTTATTTTTTAAAGTATTTTATTTTTAGTTACACTATTTTTAAAAAGTAAGAGTTCAATCAGCCCTACTCTAAAAATACTTCTAAATACCTCTAAAACTTAAATCTACTTAAAACCTTAAAGTATCATATAATAGGAATATATCATGCCCTTTTTTCCAGAAAAGGCATATTACATATGTATATAAATATATTTTTATAATATAGATGATTTATAAATATGTAATACATGGGATTATATTACTTACAGAAATACACTAAAGTTATATAACTAATACATACTATGGTGATATACAGGACATGCATAACTTCTCTGGAATATTGGTAATATTTTCATTCAAACTCCCTTTAACTGTTATTTGAACAAAAACGCCCAATGAAGGGAGTGGGCACCGTTAGACGCTCTACCAGCGGTAAAACGAGGGGAACCCAGAGAAGCGAGTGTGAGATGCCCCGGACGCCCTCCCCTCGGATCTCTCTTCACCTGCAGGCACCTCGCAATGAAGCGTGCCTGGTCGCAGACGTCTGCTCGAGGGGTGCGTGCCGCTGACCTTTGCAGTCACCCTGCGACTTGTGAGCCTCGGCCCCAGGCTCCTGCTGAGCTGGTGACAGGCCCGTCCTCTGCAGCCTCCGCGCCACACGGAGGTCACCACCCCAAGGACAGGCGAAGCACCGGAGGAGAGCCCGGCATGGCTCAGGCTGGGCAGCGACCTATGACCAGGAGGTCACAGTTCAGTTCCTGGCCAGGGCACAGGCCCGGGTTGCGGGCTCGGTCCCCAGTGCGGGACGTGCAGGAGGCAGCAGATCGATGATTCTCTCTCCTCATTGATGTTTCCCTCTCTCCCTCTCCCTGACTCTCTGAAATCAATCAAAATGTATTTTTAAAAATTAAATCAAAAATTTTAAAGAACGAAGGAGAAAAGGTAGAATTCAAGGGGACTTGGAACAACAGAGCAGCCGGCTCCTCTCTGGCCTGAAGCGGGTGGATCCCGCCCGGAGCCGGGCGCCGTGCTCAGGACCAAGGAGCTGGAGAAGAAACACACGGAGGAGCTCCTGACGGGAGCCCAGCTGAGCCCGCAGCCCTGGGTCTGGCTGCTCAGGCCGAGCCCATGTGACCCGCTGCAGGTCAAGGCCGCAGGAGGGAGGAGGGAGCGGCCAGGCAGAGGGGAGGAGAGGAAAGAGAAGCCCCACCTCCCAGGAGCCCACAGACCACAGATTCCAATCCACACGCACAAGCCAAATGCTACAGGCCATCAAACAGCAGCAACCTAAAGAGAATCGACTCCCGACAAAAGCAAACGGCAGAGCAGCCCTGGCCAGTGTGGCTCAGTGGATGGAGAGTCGACCTGCGGACTGAAGGGTCCCAGGTTCAATTCTAGTCAAGGTCACATGCCTGAGTTGCAGGCTCCCTTCCCAGTGGGGGGTGTGCAGGAGCAGCCAATCCATGATTCTCTCTCATCATTGATGTTTCTATCTCTCTCTCCCTCTTCCTTCCTCTCTGAAATCAATAAAAATACATTAAAAAACAAAACGAAAAAATGGCAGAGCATTCTGGAAAGAGCTTTAAGTACATGTTTAGGAACCCTGAAGAAGTAGATGGTGGAACAGCATCCATGAAAAAGGATAAGAAATTAACAACTGGCAGAAATCAAACAAGATATTTTAAAAGAACCCGTTAGAAACCCTAAAAATGATCCATCTAGTGATTGACGTAAGAACACGGCAGAAAAAAGGAAAGTGCTGAGCACGTGTGGAAAGTGGAAGGGAAGATGACAAACCCACAGCCAACATCATAATCAATGGGCAAAAACTAAAACCATTTCCCCTGAGAACAGGAACAAGACAGGGAGGCCCCCTCTCACCACTCCTGTTCGACACAGTACTGGAAGTACTAGCCATTGCGGTCAGACAAGAAGAAGAAATAAAAGGCATCCAAGTTGGAAAAGAGGAAGTAAAACTGTCCTTATTTGCAGATGACATGATACTGTACATAGAAAACCCTAAAGACTCCATCAAAAAATTATTAGAGTTAATAAATGAATTCGGCAATGTAGCAGGATACAAAATTAATGCCAAGAAATCTAAGGCATTTCTTTATACCAATAGTGAACTTACAGAAAGGGAGACTAAAAAAGCAATCCCATTTACCATCGCACCAGAAGGGTTTTTTACTATGAGACTCCTTCAGGGGCAGGAGCGACAGGCCGAGCGTGCGACGGGACCTGATCAGAAGGCCAGGGGCGGGAGGGCAGGGAGCGCAATGGAAGCAACGAAAGCCGAAAGCCGGGGTTTCTGGAATGCCAGGCTCCACTGAAAGGTGCCTTTGACGCCCCGCGGATGAGTGCAGGGCGGCCAGGCCTGGTGGCGGCGGCGGCCCTGGCATGGTGTGCAGTGAGTAGGTGAGCCCTGCATTCTGTGTGCGGGAGAACAGGCCGCATCTGCCCTCTCCCCATGGGGGAGCGCCTGCTCGTGCTTCCCTCTCGGAGACTCAGGGGCCTTGCTGCCCATCCCATCTGCCCCTCTTTCTCCAGCGCCCCCCCCCCCCCAATGCCTGGTGAAGGGGCCTGTCCTCACTCTTTGTTCTGCACTTCCACGTCCCCTGGGCCTCCTGCTCCCAGTCCTTGAAAAGGGCCAAGTCTTGGATTTATCATTCCCATCAGCCATGGAAGGGCCGTAGAGGGAGGGGCAGCATGAGCACCTGGGTGCGAACAGAGACCCACATCTAGAGAGGGAGGTGAGCTCTGTGGATTCTTTTAAAGGGAAATTCAACAGT